TGATCAACTTCCTTTTGTCATCCTGGAGGATCTTGAGATTTCTAGTGAAAACAACTCTGTAGGAATCTTTAGGTCCTCCAATGTTTTGGAAAATGTGAATCTCCATAACCATTTATTATTTAGGACATTTATATCCCATCCTATCTCGACCTCCGCAGAGTGACTCAGGGTGGCTAACAACAAAAAACAGAAATATACATATTAAGTAAAACAGTATAAAAACAGTATAAAAACATTAAAACAATTGCCAATTAAATAGTATTCCTAAAAGCAGTCCATCAGAGTCCATTAAAACAATAGCTTTGCCATGGTTTCATAACCTTTTTGGATAACCACTGGTCACTGGATAGGATTCATAAACTTTTTGGATAACCACTGATAATTGGAAAGGCATGACCTTGTTAGAAGTCACAACCTTATGAAAAATAATGTTCACCAGCATTTATGCAAGGCAACTAGGTCTCTCAGCGGTTATAGTGATGTACCTAGGTATGTCTTTGAACTGTTAGGGACAAAGACATGCCAATGCACAAAAACACATATTCAGCAGTGTTTCAGAAGTGTTTCATTTAGGGCCCTTTCACACAGCCCTATATCCCAAAATATAATAACTTTATGTCATTGTACAACAAAATTAAATGCTTTCCCCAGCACACATCACAAAACAACACATCCATCCCGCCACACTCTCACCACCGCAATGCCACATCAATGCAAAATCATGGAATTCAGTATAATTACAGCTCTAGGATAAAAGCTGTCTCTCAATCTGTTTGTCCTTGCCTTTGTCACCCTGTACCATCTGCCAGATGGTAATCATTCAAAAACAATATGCTAGGTGGGATGGATCCCCAAGAATGATCTGAGCTTTTTTAAGGCTGTGGAACCAATAAAGTTCTTCCAAAGAGGGGGGAAAGATGGCAACCCATGATACTTTGTGCAGAAGTGGTGACCCTTTGGAGCAAATTCCTATCTGTCACTGTGCAGTTACCAAACCATGCGCAGATGCAGTAGGTGAGGACACTCTCTATAGCACAGCGGTAGAAAGTCACCAGCAGTTTTCCATTCAGTTGTTGGTTTCTCAGAAATTTCAGTTAGCACAGTCTCTCCTGAGCCCTCTTCACCAACACTTCCATATGAACTCCCCAGGTCAGATCCTCTTTAACAGTGACACTCATGAACTCAAAACTGGCCACCTGCTCCACTTGGTCCCCATTTAGGGCCAAGGTCTGGATTTCTGATCTGTTCTTTCTGTAGTCCATTATGAGCTCTTTGGTCTTATTGATGTTAAGAACTAGCTTATTATCCTTGCACCTCGAGAGGAGCCAATCCACCTCATCCCAATAGGCAGAGGCTTCCCCTCCAGAGATAACTCCCTTCATGGTTGTGTCATCTGCAAATTTGGTAATGATATTGCTGTGATGGATGGGGAAACAATTATATGCGTAAAGAGTATAAAGCAGAGGACTCAACACACAGCCCTGTGGTGTCCCAGTGTTGAGAGTGATTGCTGACGAGGTATGATTACCTAATATAACCCTCTGGGAACGTCCAGGCAAGAAGTCCATAATCAGATTGAATATGACATTCCAAGATCCATAAGACACCAATCTATGTGGGAGGATTGTGTTAAATGTTGAATTAAAGTTTGCAAAACTTCTGGTAGAAGTTGACCATAGAATTGCACTGGATGACTACAGAGAACATTTTCTAGGTATTGCTAGGTCCTCCAGTGCTGTTTCATGGCATTCAAAGCTCTTTGCATAGAATTGAAATTGCATTTAATGGACTAACATAAAAAGAGGGACTACGGCACTTGAAAACATTCTGAAGTCTACTGTCATGTATCATGTTCTGCAGTTGATGGTGGTTGGTGGTGGTAGGCCTAGCAGTTGGTGATAGAAGGGTTAATGTAAGTTTTAGTTCTAAAGGGTTGAGTAATCTGTAAGTAAGAGTTCATGGGTGAAAGCAATTAAGGGTGGAGGTATGCAAGGGCTGCAGCTGGGTGTTTCTGGATATAATGAGCTAGCCTTGGGACTGATCTTCGGGAAAAGAGTATTTGTCATATTTTGGTGGTAGATGCTGCTGGTTTTCCCCCAGGTTTGTGGATTTTCGGTATCCTGATCTGTCTCTTGAACCCTTGGAACCCTGGAATCCTGAATCTTTGGACTGGCTTTTGACTATGGTATAGACTCTTGATCCCTGGACTTTACTCGGCATTTGACCACTGGACTGGACCTTTTGACTATGGTGTTATCTTGAACCTGCATCAGTGTTTGCTGCCAGTTTTCTTTTATATTCTCTGGCTGAGTGCTATCTTTATGTTTTGCACTATTAAAACAGCCAGAAAGTACAGAAAGTAAGTGCTGATTTAATTAAATTGTTTAACACAAACTGGGAGTTTGATTAATCTCTGCCAAAATATTGGCAGAGCCCTGGCATCATGACGTCTACATTGAGCCATATTTGAGATGAGACTTTGATGTACCTGTTTAGCACAGAAAGGAGTCCTGTGCTAAATAGGTTAAACCCTTATGCCAACAGGACTGCATACCAACAGGTTAGGGGTTTCGAATTCAAGAAAAGCAGTTTGAGCTCCCTCTGTCAGCTCCAGCTCCCCATGTGGTGACATGAGAGAAACCTCCCACAAGGATGGTAGGACATCAAATATCCGGGCATCCCCTGGGCAATGTCCTTGCAGATGGCCAATTCTCTCACACCAGAAGCAACTTGCAGTTTCTTAAGTTGCTCCTGACATGAAAAAAAATCACAGAATGAAGGATTAATAATTTTATGAAAGAACTCTATAGAAAATGTGCTGTCACCCCATTTACATTGCAGTGCACTATGACCTAGCCCAATGCTCAAGCTTGGCATTAAGTTACAGGCATGTTTTTGTGCACTTCCCATAGCCGTGTTGCCAAGTGCGTAATGGCTCATTATCACAAAGCCCACCAGACGGCATCGACCCTTCCGCCAAGCAGATCTGTGTTCTATAAATCTGATGCAGAGGCGTTGAAGATTGGTGACACCTTTGGAGCAGTTAAATCAAACTTGTAAATTGCAATGATGAGGTTCGAACCGGCATTATGATTTCCCTGACGTTCTTTCGATGACATGATTGCCTCAATGCTGTGATGGATCGACTGGGGCGGTGGTGCTCTCTTCCGGTATTGCATTTGTAAAAAATCTATTTCCCTCCCTGAGTCTTTTCTGACCCTGAAAGATTGTCACAGTGTGATCAAGGATGAAGGAAATGTCAGCCTCTGTTAGAGACAGCCAGTCTACCATGTAAATACCTTGGTAAGGCTCAGTGTCCTATTTGAGAAACAATACAAAAGCATTTCATCTTCAGGTGTAGAGTGCATTTGGTCTGGGATTTAAAACAATAACAGCTGGATGTATATAATGAAGCGGAACGGTGGAAGCATACCATAGAATAGTACCAAAGGACCCAGAAAATACCTAAAAACACACATTTTTAAATATATGGGTAAGTGAAATTGTGTTTACCATGTCCCATGGATAATAGGATTGTCTATATTTGCATTTTGCTCAGTGCCTATGGTGGATACAGACCAGAAAGATAAACTATACATAATATCACATCATTTGTGGACCGGGCCTTAGCACAGCAGGCTAACCACCAGCTACAATCAATCTTCTCAATTGGAAGGTTGACAGTTCGAAGACTGGGTCAGGGTGAGCACCTGGTCTTTCAGCCCAGCTTGTGCCCATATTGCAGAAGCATATTGCGGAAACTAATATGAGTAGATAAACAGGTACTGCTTTAAAAGCAGGGAGGTATTAAGGCACCCATAAGGAAATGCCAGTGTTGGAGGTCAGCCTGTGATTGTGTTTCAGGATCAGGGTGCTTTGGATGTGGGGAATGATGTAAATGAGGTTCAAGATGGCAATGGTTTGGTCAGTGATATTGATGCCAAGAATGACAGAGAGACACCTGTTCAAAGTGTAGTTTCCCATGAGAATGTTCCTACAGGGTATAGGGATGATGGTTTACTCCCTGAATTGCTCCCAGAGAGTTCCCAGGATTTGGGGCTTGAAAACAACTCTGCACCTATAGAAACTAATGAGCATATAGATAGGCGGGCGGAAATTAGTCAAAACAGACAGGCCGAGCAAGACCTTTGGCGTTCTGCCAGGCTTCAACAGAAAAAGATAAGGGTAGCTCAGGGAAAGCGAAACAACTTTCTGAGTGCTTGGAAAGGCTTATAAATTCCAAGCATGGAAAAAAAATAGTCAGATGAAGCATCGTTTAGAAACCTGCTAAGTTCTTGTCCTTGTCTCATAGAAGCCTTGCTTGGAAGATTCATGCTTAAGGATTTCTTGTTTCTTGGTTTGGGTTTTGTCTCTTGTGATTACTTGCTCCTGCCTTGGATCAACGTTTCCTGGTTCTTTGGATTTTGTTAGAGACTTGTGGATTTTGCTTTTGGACATTGCTGAACTCTACCTTGAACTAATTTGTTCCTGCTTATCTTTTTTTCTAATTGGATTTACCTATTCCTTTAAAATGTTTTTCCACTTTGCTTTTTTTACTTATCTTCAATAAAAGTATTCCTTTCCCTATTCAACATGTGGTGTTTTAAAGTCGGAGGGTTATTCCTGTCCTGGAGTGCAACAGCCAGCAATTTGATAAAAAGAGGAAGTTTACAAACAAAGCTCATTAGCAGGGAAGATGGAGCAACAGCACCCCCCATGGCCAGAACTGAGCACAACCTCCAAGATGCCAAAGATGGGAAATCCTATATAGATCTCTGTCTATGTACAGTTGTCTGTCTTGTCATTGTATAATCGGCATTGGATATTTGCCATATATGTGTTCTGTGATCTGCCCTGAGTCCCCTTCAGGGTGAAAAGGGTGGAATATAAATACTAAATAAATAAATAGCTTGTTATCAATTCAGTATTATTTGCTGTGATCAATCCAATATCAGTGGCTCAAAACAAAAGAGTGCATCAAATGAATGAAAGGCGCTTACGTGATACAGAGGAACAGTGTTGTTCTCAGGTAAGGAGAAGTTGAGGGCCTCCTGCTGTCCAGGTTCAAGACGAACGTTCACAGTTGAGGTCAGCACCGAAGGGCTAATGGGATAGTTGGGACTCCCGCTGTTCTTCCCCTTTTTCCTCGACCGCCGCCCCGTATCCCGTTTGTTGTCCTTCTGAGTCAATGGCTCCTCCTGGATGACCAAAATCTTGTCATCGCTCAGGTACCGAAGAAGTGAATTCTCAGAGTCTGGGGGAAGAAGAGGTGAACATGAGGCTGTAGGAGCGAAAGAGCAAGATTAACAATTTTGGAACAAAGGCAGGGTATAAATCAGGATGATGAGGTCTTGATATCTCAGTGTCTCTTTGCTTTTTGTCTCCTAGGACTGTCACATCTATCACTCATGCTTTCTTTTAAACCAATAGCAAAGATAGGGACATAACATCTGACTAACAGGAGCCCCCTTGTGTCGGCAGGACTGAAGACCAACAGGTCGGAGGTTCGAGTCTGGGGAGAGCACGGATGAGCTCCCTCTGTCAGCTCCAGATCCCATGTGGGGACATGAAAGAAGCCTCCCACAAGGATGGTAAAATATCAACACATCCATGTGTCCCCTGAGCAACATCCTTACAGATGGCCAATTCTCTCACACCAGAAGCGACTTGCAGTTTCTCATGTCGTTCCTGACATGGAATAGAAATAAAGTGACGCAACTTGGAATGTGCCGCATTATCTGATTCCAAAGTTCTCCAACAATATTGGAAACACTGATGGTTCAAAACCCCAGCTAGTAATATCTGGTAGGCTTTTTTCATGTTAGAAGCAACTTGAAAAACTGCAAGTCGCTTCTGGTGTTAGAGAATTGGCCATCTGCAAGGATGTTGCCCAGGGGATGCCCGGATGATTGATGTTTTATGATCCCGTGGGAGGCTTCTCCAATGTTCCTGCATGGGGAGCTAAAACTCGACAGATGGGAGCTTACCCTGCTCCCTGGATTTGAACCGCTGACCTGTCAGTCAACCAGTCTTGCTGGCACAAGGGTTTAATGCACTGCGCCACTGGGGGCTCCAATTGGTAGGCTGTTATGCTAAGATAATTACAACAACAAACCACAACATTTTTTTGTGTTGTCGAAGGCTTTCATGGCAAGAAACACTGGGTTGCTGTGAGTTTTTCTGGGATGTATGGCCATGTTTCAGAAGCATTCTCTCCTGACATTTCACCCACATCTATGGCAACTTCACAGTCATCATAATATTTCCCACAATGGCTAGGGCATGGGTGCAAACCTCATTTTCATTGAAGGCCACACCAGCCTTAGTGTTGCCATCAAAGGCTTGTTGACTCCATGGATACAGAGGGACAACTATATTTTTGTTTCCTAGTAGACAACACATGTTAGTTTTTACCCAGTTTTATTATCATTTGCAGCTTGGTATAAATTCAGCATTCTTTGTTGTGATACAGAGGAACAGTTTTACCCACATCTATTGCAAGCATCCTCAGAGGTTGTGAGGTCTGTTGGAAACAAGGCAAGTGAGGTTTATATATCTCTGAAATATATATAAACCTCACAAAATCTGGCTACCAGTATTTTTAAACTCTAAAATCAGGACAGTAGATAAAGAGCAACACTCCAAATACAAGAGAAGAATCAATCAGGGCCAGCTAACACTTCTCAACAAAGGATCCCCCAGGCAGCAATCAGCCAGGCTTTGAAGCTACAAGACCATTAAATGCTAATCAAGGTGGCCATTTGCAACATTCATAATTGCCTCAAGCAAACAAGAGTTCTTTCTCCCTCTCTGGACATCATTCCACAGATATATAAACCGCATTTGTCTAGTTTCCAGCAGACCCCTCAGCTTCTGAGAATGCCTGCCATAGATGTGGGTGAAACGTCAGGAGAAAGTGCTTTTGCAACATGGCTATTAAGCCCGCAAAACTCACAGCAACCTTACAATAATATTGTCTGGAATCCTGTATAAGCTACTTAGTATGTTTAACTGTAATGAAGTTGCAATCATGGGTACAAAAGTTACCAGCTGTAACAGTTTCATAGTAACAATTGATACTTAACTTTGATTTTTAGGAGTACTACTATGATTGTAACTAACTTCCTCTTGAACCTACTTTACCAGCATCAGCTACAGGAAGAGAAGGTGGTCCATTCTACTGGTAACTGGAGTACAAAAAAGGAGATTCCATCTGAACATGAGGAAGAACTTCCTGACTGTGAAAGATGTTCAGCAGTGGAACTCTCTGCCCTGGAGTGTGATGGAGGCTCCTTCTTTGGAGGTTCTTAAACAGAGGCTGGATGGCCATCTGTCGGGGGTGCCTTGAATGCAATTTTCCTGCTTCTTGGCAGGGGGTTGGACTGGATGGCCCATGAGGTCTCTTCCAACTCTATGTTTCTATGATTCTATGTTTCTGAAAATTTTGAGAGGGAAGATTCAGGCCAAGAGGAGGTACTTAGGCTACATCAACTCCCATCAAAATCACTTTCGTGGATACTGGTTTGAAATGGCATTAAATGGTCAGTGTAGATGGGGCCAAAAGAAAGAGGAGGAGGGAGGAGGAGGCTTTGAACACAGTTGGTATGTGTATGTATCATGGCAGGCAACAGAGAAGCTTGAAACAACTATTTTTCTGGATGCTGTAACATGTAATTTTCAAGATCAATACAAACCCACAAGCCACAATGATTTGTTCAAATGGGTGTCCTTTTTTCGATCTGAAAGTTCTGCTAAGATACATGAGAAATGAAGTGTAGCTACTGAACTGGCTCTTCACAGCCCATTGAAGCAAAGAGGCCACTTGGCAAGAAATGAGACCGCTTCTCAGAATTGCTCTTCTTTGGCACACCAGTCCTACTTAAAATTGCTGTAAATAGTAGGCCTGTCCGGTTTCGTTCGTTAATTCGTTAATTCGTTATTAATTCGTTATTTTAGGCATTTTTGAAGCGATATCAAAACACATTTCCAAACCCGGAAGGGTTTTAAAATATCGAACCAGCAACCCCCATAGATTTAATGAGCTTCCGCTCGTTTCGTTAATGGGGTGGAGGCTGCTGGAGTGCTGGTGCCAGTGGGAGCCAATCCAGCGCTCCCAAGCAGTGCACTGTGGGTCCGTGGCTGCTTGTTTTTGATTGGCCGGCGAGCCCTTTCAAAGCGGCTCCGCGCGGCGCGGCCCGGCTCATTGCTGCAGAGGGCGAGGGAGTTTGCATTGGCTTGGCTTGGCTAATGGCTAGCAACTGGATTGGATTCATTCCTTGCTGCTGTGAGTGCTGCTTGCTTCATTTGCTGTGTCCTGCCTGTGTTTGGTCCACATTTGGGCCATTTTTTGGTTAATTTTCCATTTTAAAATATTTTTTAATATTATTTTAAAATATTTTTTAATATTATTTTAATATTATTTTTTAATATTATTTTAATATTATTCTTAAAAATATTCTAAAAAAGAAAAGACTCTTCTGTTGGTGTGTGCTCTCATTTGCTGTCCTGCCTGTGTTTGGTCCACATTTGGGCCATTTTTTGGTTAATTTTCCATTTTAAAATATTTTTTAATATTATTTTAATATTATTTTTTAATATTATTTTAATATTATTCTTAAAAAATATTCTAAAAAAGAAAAGACTCTTCTGTTGGTGTGTGCTCTCATTTGCTGTGTCCTGTCTGTGTTTGGTCCACATTTGGGCCATTTTTTGGTTAATTTTCCATTTTAAAATATTTTTTAATATTATTTTAATATTATTCTTAAAAAATAAAAAAATATTCTAAAAATTCGTTAATATTTACAAAATTTCGTAAATACCAAAACTTTTTTTTGGAAAGTTTTGTAAATATTTTAAATATCGAAACAAAAAAACACCCCAATTACAAATCGATTTTAGAAACAAATTTTTTCTTGATCAAACAGGCCTAGTAAATAGTATAGCATAACTACAACATCCACATATTTTGTGCTCCCAGGGAATACAGATGCACTTTCCCTTTGATTTTTCACTTTCTACTCACCACTGAATGTTTTTTAAGATGTGAAATGTTAAGTATCCTTCTCAACATGCTTTCCCCAAATGTGATGCACCAATAGACCAGCATCATGCACCAGAGCTATTTAGTTAAGTACTAACTTAAAGTACATCTATGCTGTAGAATTAATGCAGTTTGACACCACTTTAACTGCCATGGAGTTGTTGCAGCCCCCGGTGGCGCATTGGGTTAAACCCTTGTGCCGGCAGGACTGATGACTGACAGGTCAAATCCGGGGAGAGCGCAGATGAGCTCCTTCTGTCAGCTCCAGCTCCTGATGCAGGGACATGAGAGAAGCCTCCCACAAGGATGGTAAAACATCAAAACATCGGGGCGTCCCTGAACAACATCCTTGCAGACGGTCAATTCTCTCACACCAGAAATGACTTGCAGTTTCTCAAGTCATTCCTTGCATGAAAAAAAACACAGAGTGAAGGACTAATAATTTGGCAGTTTGGATCCGGAGAGTAGAGTGAGCTCCCATCTGTCAGCTCCAGCTTCTCTTGTGGGGACATGAGAGAAGCCTCCCACAGGATGGTAACACATCTGGGCATCCCCTGGGCATCATCCTTGGAGACATCCAATTCTCTCACACCAGAAGCGACTTGCAGTTTCTCAAGTTGCTCCCGACATGACAAAAATAAAATAGGAGTTGTTGTTTGGGAAGACAGAGAAGGTTAAAGACCTTGCAGAACTACAATTCCCATAACATTGAGAAAAACTGAAAAGAGTTTTGAGAAATCTTTGCATTGCGCATGTGCAGAAATCAAGCTGAAGAGCCCCCAGTGGCACAGTGGGTTAAACCGTAGAGCTGCTGAACTTGCTGACCAAAAAGGTTGGTGGTTCAAACCCGGGGAGCAGAGTGAGCTCCCATTGTTAGCTCCACCTTCTGCCAACCTAGCAGTTTGAAAACATGCAAATGTGAGTAGGTACTGTTCCAGCGGGAAGGTAATGGCACACCATGCTGTCATGCTGGCCACATGAACTTGGAGGCATCTATGGACAATGCCAGCTCTTCAGCTTAGAAATGGAAATAAGCACAATTCCCCACAGTCAGACACGACTAGTCTTAATGTCAAGGGGAAATCTTTGCCTTTACATAGAAGTAAAACTACTCACCTCGGCTCCCCCTTTTATACATATTTGGCTCTTTGGAATCTCCTATCCAGCTGTACTCTGTTGGCATAGAGACTGGCCTGAGATCACCTGGAGGAAAAGAAAACCCAAGATAAATTAAATTTTTATAACACACTAAAAAGAGATTATTTTCCATCAGAAAGTGCATTTTCTTCACTGGTACATAAGGAGCAAGGGCCAGTGAGTGGAGGGTACAAACTGTCCAATTTTGCACTGCTAGCGCGTTAAGTTTGCATACCCGTTGACCTTTCATAGTGGAAAACTGAGTCTTATATAGACAAGCAACATCGGTGTGTGCTTAAGATGGCCATAGTTATTCATGAGCAAGAACGATTGCCTGGTCCTACTGGTAAGGGCATAATTTCACCCACTTTTGCTCTCTCCTATGTCCTGACATCACTGAGTACAAACTATTTGTGGTATTTTTGGCTCAGTTTGCAGAAAATGAAGCAAGCTGAGGTCAACAAGAGAAAGCGAGACCCCATCTACATTGCCACAAACTGCAGTGTAGCACTCGGATTAGCCTGGGGTGTCCAAATGACGCACCCACGGTAATGCGTTTCAACCCAAGGTAAACCTTTTAGGGGCCGCAGTTGTGAAGGGGCAAACTGCTAAGCTGCAGAACTTGCTAACCGGAAAGACAGCAGTTCAAATCCGTGGGAGGGAGTGTGCCCCTACCCTTGAATCCTTCCATTTTAGCCTAAAAATATGGATTTTTAAACAGGCCTTTGGCCTCGAGTAGACTGAAATGGGCCTATATTAGGTTGACACTTTGGCACTTTAGTTGTGTATTGATGGCAGCTAGTTTTAAACATTGATAGAAAGTGTTTTTAAATTGTGTGTTTTATTTTATTTTATTTGTTAATAGTGGTTGTTTATAAATTTTACGTTGTTTTATACTCATGTACTGTTGATGTTTATACTGCATTGGCAGTGCCTTGTTAGCCACCCCGAGTCCCTTTTTGGGCGATGGAGGCGGGCTACAAATAAATAAGTTGTTGTTGTTGTTGTTGTTGTTGTTACTAGCTGTCCCCTGCCATGCATTGCTGTGGCCCAGATTGTGTATATGTGTTTTGTGTGTGTATATATTTGTGTATATGTGTATATATGTGTATTTGCATGTGTGTGTGTATATGTTGTTTTGTGCATGCGTTTTATTTTTTATTTTTTGGCTGTTTAAGTATCTTCCAATGTGTTTTTCAGTGTTTCTATGAGTGATGATTGTTTTTATGAGTGATGGTCACTCGTTGGCCTGATAGGTGTATTGTGTCCAAATTTGGTGTCAATTTGTCCAGCGGTTTTTGGGTTATGTTAATCCCACAAATGAACATGACATTTTTATTTATATAGATTATTATTATTCAGATCCAGCTGTTAGGCCCAGCTTCTGCCAACCCAGCAGTTCAAAACATGCAAATGTGAGTAGATCAATAGGTACTGCTTCTACAGGAAGGTCACGGCACTCCATGCAGTCATGCTAGCCATGTGACCTTGGAGGTGTCTACGAACAATGCCAGCTCTTCAGCTTAGAAATGGAGATGAGCACCAATCCATAGAATCGGACTTGACTAGATTTAATGTCAAGGGGAAACCTGTAGCTTTACCTTTTAAGCTTTTTAATCCATCTTGACCCCAGGTTAAAAAAATATCAGGAAAGATCCAGTTCTTCCAAGAAGTCCTGGAACTTTGCTGGTGCTCTGGCAGTGGAGACTGCCATCTTGGGTTGCCATGCATGGTCCTATAGGGTTTCTCCATAGCCACCCCATACTCAGGCAGCTCAGGGAGGTGGGACGGCAGTGCCTCTCAAGCCTCCCTGTACCCCGTTTCACCCCCCAAACAATGGAAATGCCTCCTTAGTTTCAGTCAGGGTGTGTAGTTCTTGGAACTGCATCACTCAGGATGTGATGGAGCTTTGAAAGAGGAGAGAAAGCTTCCTGCTCTGTTGCATCTTGAGTGACGCAGACCGAGGAACTATAGACTGTGCTGCAACAGTGAGTGGGTATTCCCATATTTGGGGATGGGGTGACGATGTGCAGGGACACCCAAAAGGCACTGTCCATGCCCAGCCCTGCTGAACCAGTTCAACATAGCTGGGCTGCGTGGCCAGGCAGCATAGAGCAGCTCCGTTTAGATAAAATGTGCCTCGGAACCGGCATTTTAAATCCCAGTTTGAGTCACATTTTTGTGGCTGTGCCGAAGGGCCATGAAAGGAGGAAAGACACAATCAGGCATTTGGAAAGAAGCTGAAAAAGTAAAATGGCAGAGGATTTGCCAGGACTCTCCCTGCAAAATTGGGGGGTATGGCTTTCCCCCTCAATGCGCCAATGCATTCCTCAGAAAACCAGGGCGACTGGGAGAGACAACCACATCGAGAGAGATGCAGATCTGTAAAACCGGCTCCATGGGATCATCTTTCTGACCTTGTCAGTCTCCATCATCATCAAAGCACGCAAAAAAGTACCCTCCAGTTCATGAGTCAACTCCCATCTGAAATATTCAGGCAGCATGAACACATACTCTCTCTCAAGCAATGATAGCCTGGCTCTAGTTCTGTGGCCTGTTTGCTTCAGACATTCGGCTTATTTTCTGTAACGTTAGACATTGACCAATCTCTCTGTTCCAAAAATAAACTCAAAGCTGGGGGGAAAGAAAGGCTGGATACAATCAAGATATCCTTTCCATTTGGTTGCTACTCCAGTAGCCCATGTCTGCAGTTTTTTTCCTAGGGTTCTTTAAGAGGAGGAAAGGAGAGACCCCCTCCTCACATCAGGAATAAAGATTGCCATGTTCACAAGGGATAAATGGAGCTTGCTATTTACTGATTTGTGACACACGTTCACTGAGTCTTCTGCCAGTTGAGTGAGATGCTATTAATTCAGAATGTCATTATGTGCTTCAAAGAGGCCAGGTTTTTCCCCCTCTCTCTACTGATTACAATCTTTTGGAGCATGATGAGAGCAATTATATTGTATTTATCTTGTTGCCTTATTACTATGAACTTTATGGTTTGTAGCAATCAGTTATAAATCGAGAATAGAAAAGGAGTGATGTCACCAAATATTGCTAAAAATATGTATAAGTTTTATTTAGGTCTCACTCTGTTTTGCTGAATTTCTTCTGATCCTGCTTGAATCCTTCCTCATTGTTTCATATAGAATCATAGAATCATAGAACCAAAGAGTTGGAAGAGACCTCATGGGCCATCCAGTCCAACCCCCTGCCAAGAAGCAGGAATATTGCATCCAAATCACCCCTGACAGATGGCCATCCAGCCTCTGTTTCAAAGCTTCCAAAGAAGGAGCCTCCACCACACTCCGGGGCAGAGAGTTCCACTGCTGAACGGCTCTCACAATCAGGAAGTTCTTCCTCATGTTCAGATGGAATCTCCTCTCTTGTAGTTTGAAGCCATTGTTCCGCGTCCTAGTCTCCAAGGAAGCAGAAAACAAGCTTGCTCCCTCCTCCCTGTGGCTTCCTCTCACATATTTATACATGGCTATCATGTCCCCTCTCGGCCTTCTCTTCTTCAGGCTAAACATGCCCAGCTCCTTAAGCTGCTCCTCATAGGGCTTGTTCTCCAGACCCTTGATCATTTTAGTCGCAAGACTCCTTTCCCACATCATACATTGGCTGCGTATGATCTCATTCGCACCAAATAGTTACACCACTTTGGGTGCATCTACGCTGCAAAATGAATGCAGTTTGACACCACTTTAGTCAGCTCAATGCTATGGAAGCCTGGGAATTGTAGTTTTACATGGGCTTTAGCCTTCCATGCAAAAAAACAAACAAACATTGGTGCTTCACTAAACTATGAGTCCTATGATTCCATAGTATTAAGCCAAGGCAGTTAAAGTGGGATCAATTTGCATTAATTCTACAGTGCAGATGCACCCTTTGACACCAACTGAACTGCCATGGAAATTTGGGATCTGTAGCCTGGAATTCTAGACACCTTCCAAAGCAACAGGACCTAGGATTGAGGGTCACAAAAACCTTTAAAATATATCCTGATTTTACAAAAATTTGGCTCTCAAAATCCAAAAAATGAACTCTGATTTGCTGCATCCTGGTACTATTGTTTCCCACAACTTGCTCTGACATTTTTAGTTTGCAGTACGGGACTGGATGAAATTAGTACTGAAAAACTATCACCAAGAAAATCATTTTGTAGCCAGTTATGAATATATTTATTTACAAAAATGATACCCAACCTTGATTCCAAAGGTAAGGCGTATAATATAACATAATACAATACAATACAATATAATAAATATTGAGAAAGGTTGCATTACGGAAACAGTTTTTCTGGACCCCACGGCAGCCTATGACACAGTGCAACATAGGAAATTGTGACATAAGGTCTACCGTATCACCAGGGACTATGATGTTACAAAAAACATCCAGGCCCTCCTAGAAAGCTGCAGCTTCTATGTGGATTTTCAGGGCAGGAAAAGTAGATGGAGGAGGCAAAATAATGGTCTACCTCAAGGCAGCGCTCTTGCACCAACCTTGCTTAACATCTTTATTAACAACCAGCCATAGCCACAACTCACAAAGAGCTTTATCTATGTTGATGACCTTGTCCTAACAACACAAGCGAAAATAACAGTTGAAAACCAACTTATAAATGCCCTGAATGATCTCTTCAGCTACTACAAAGATAATCACCTGAAGCCTAACCCTGCCAAGATACAAGTGTGTGCTCTCCATCTACGTAATCGTGAAGCCAACAGGAAATTGCAGGTTACCTGGGAAGGTCAAGAGCTTGAATACTGTTCCCACCCTAAATATCTCAGCATCACCTGAGACCAAGCATTATCATTTAGATAAATATTCTTTTTTTTAAATTAATTTTTATTGATTTATCACAATTATTACATCCTATTGCATTTTATACATCAACCTCTTTAACATGTTGTTTTGTTGTTTTGCTTTAACATTCCCCCCCCCCCTTTTCTCATTTTTTTCCTTTTTTTTTCCCACCACAGTGCTCCCCTCCACCCGTCTCAAGCCATATTCTTACATTTCATCTGTCCAAAATTTCATTTCTTCTTGTGACGGTAATTTTC